TTCCTAACTACTCCACCGCCTTTGGCTTCTGCAGAAGACCTTATCTCCTGCCTTATTCAGAAGACAAGGACCACAAAACATGGACATACTAATCATCCCTCCGTTCCACGAAGAGATTGCAGTCTGAGAACCACTGCTCTAGGATGATGTAATGATGATGCAACACAAAGTCAAACGTCCTACTGATGAAGTCATCACTGGGCCTTTCTTGGGCATCTCTCCAGAAGGCCATGTATACCACTCAGCCAGGAAGATCCCTGCAAGAAATCCTGTCTGAACCCAAGCTCTGTCTTGTCAAAACAATTTCTTTTATAACTTTGCACCCAGTTTGTTTTCTCCTCTGTTGCCAGGGTCCAAGAGGTATGATCTGAATGGCTGTCCTTTGAGGAACATCACACACAGCCCTCAGCACAAAGGCACGGCTAGGAAGCCAATACCCAAATTCTTTGCATCCTGGGAGGTGTCCCACACCCACTCACTGAAATCTGAAGTGTCTTTGTACACACAAGGCCATCCAGGGGCCTTGACAGAATCTATGAATCACAAAATTCCTTTCAGTTTCCCTTTGGCACAATGGTACAGAGAGGCCACAGACTTGTCTTCTCAAATGGACACACAATATAGAATTAATAAATTGTTTCTTTAGGAATGGAGGGCAGCTATCCAAGAGAACCACACATTCTGGAACCTCCTCTCCTCTCTCTTTCCATGGCCTTTTCTTCTGACACTGGGACTTATAGACATGATCTCATCTTGGGCTCCTGTAGCGACAGGTAGGTAACAGGCTGGGCAGGCTCCTTTCCATTGCCCAATTTTTATTTTATTTTTTAAATATATATTTATTGATTTCAGAGAGGAAGGGAAAGGGAGAGAGAGAGATAGAAACATTAATAACGAGAGAGTGGTCATTGATAAGCTGCCTCCTGCACACCCACGACTGGGGATCAAGCTGGCAACCTGGGCATGTAGCCCTGACTGGGAATCGAACCATGATCTCCTGGATCCTACATCAATGCTCAACTGCTGAGCCACACCCAGCTGGACTCTGATGCCCAATTTTTAAAGTCAGAGAGGTCATGGCTGATTGAAAGGAACCCGGCAAGTCAGGGATCCATCCTGTGTCCTAAGTTCACAGTACTGCTCTGTCTGCCCGGAAGCCAAACATGCCTTCAACATGCTTGGTTGGTTGCAAAATGCTGAACACACACAGAGGAAGAGGTCCTTCCTGACCTGTGTCGAAATGTGAGAACTACCTCTGGGCTTCTGCTCAGCATATTCCCTCCCCCTTCTCTCTGCCTTCAGTATGTTACTCAAGAGCACTTCCTACCTGAAGTCCTTACTGATACCACGTCTTATCACTCTTTCCTTTGGCTGCCTTTTGCAGGTAAACCTGCGGCTGGGTTTCCTGGTCACAGAGACCAACTCCCCTAAGAAAAGCAAAATGCAGGAAGGCTCTGGAGGTAGAGGGGTTGGTAGGAGCTATGGGATAACTGCACATACGAGTCACATTCCTAATGATTATGTAATTAATACATTTAGCAATAAACATACAAATGTAATAGTACTATGTACTAGACACGTTACTGAGCACTTACACGCGTCCCTCATTTAATAAGAGCATCCAATGAAGTGCCAGCTCCTACCCCGCCGTTGCTGACCTGCCTCCTTGCCAGTCAAGCAGCAGCATGCTCCATCCCCTGGTCCAGCCTCCACCACCAAGGCAGCCCATCCTCCGGCCCCTAGACATGGCTTTGCTCCTTAGAACAAGACCAAAGGCCTTTTCACAAAGGCTCCAATGAGGTGACTGATGTCTGGCTTCGTCAACTACAAGTGAATAATTAATACTTGCCAGGAAAGAAATAGACTCATTGTTATGGTGGCCACATGGAGGCTACAAAAGGCCACTTTGTGAAGCTCTTGGTGGAACCCTGGGGCCAACAGTGGCCCAGAGAAAGCCCTTTGAGAGTGTAGGCCAATCCTCAAACGTGGAGAGGGGAGCTTTGCACCATTTCCCAGGTCGTTATACCCAATGTTAATTAGCTTGTTCACCGCCTAATTCAGCTCGCTGGTCAGCGAGAGCAGCGGAGGCCCACTGAACACCCTGAGAGGGCACGATTTATCAGAGGGGACCTGTCGTGTTCTCCCGGGGCCCCTTCCCTGTTTTTAAATGTACGTCGACTTCTTTCTCTGGGCTAGCCTGACTTGATTGGAGGAAAACTCTTCAATCCTTCTGGATTTTATACCCCACTCTTGGGCTCATGCCTAAGGCAAGTTTTTCCATTTTCAGCGGGGATTGAACAAGGCAGGCTTGGGTGCCTATAGAACCGGTCAGAACTGGCCAGAAAATATAATAAAGAGGCTTAGTGAGCAGAGAGCTATTGCCTCCAGCTGGAGGCTCAGCAAGCACAACTAGCCAGAGACACTGGCTTTGTAAGTAACAACACATTCTTCTGGTGGCCTGGTGGCCGTCCTGGCAGATGGCAGCCAGTGCCAATGAGTAACTCTCTAGAGGAAAGTTTCACCTCCCCCAAGTGAACACTGGGTGCTCAACCAATACTTTCTGGTGCCAGTAATCCCTGACCAGTTACCCATACACACTCCTGTGATATTTTTGCCCTCGGAGCTAAAGCTGCCCCTGCAGCAGAGCTGCCAGCTGCCATATAGTGTCATTTCAGGAAGCTGTTCCCCCAAAATTACTACCCAGCTCCCCACTCCGACTTCCAGCTCCCCCCTGCCTGAAATTCCACCATTAGAGATATCAAGTATTTGACTGAAGCTTTGCTTCCCATTAAAGTGCCTCTCCTCCTCTGTTTCCTTTCTGGTCAAATGACATTGAAGCACCTGCTGGGCTTGGAATGGGAAATTGTTTTGTATTTAGCTCCTGAGAATAAACATGGTCCTGGGCTCCTTTCTTGAAAATGAGAAGGGCACCCTGTGGAAGTGGAGGTGGGCGGCCCCACGGAGGCGCCCAGAGGAGGCTGATGCTGGAGAAAGCCCTGCCCAGGGATGTGGACCTAAGACTTTTGCCCTCCCACATCTGTGATCTTCAGGGTTGCCAGAATCTTTCACTAGGGCCTGTGCCCAAGAGAAAGGTAAGACCCCTGTGCTAAAGGGGAACCAGCACTCTCCTGATCTGACCGCATGCCCACAGGACTGCCCCGACCTCTGCTCATTCCGTGGGCGCGCAAGCACCCAGGGGCCAGCAGGAAAATATCCTTGCCCCCTTCCCGGCCTGTTTGGAAGGGGAGCTGATGGCCATCGGCCCTTGGCGATTCTGTTGTGCTGGGGAAACTCTAATTAAGAGTCAGAATCCCTGGGCTGGAGAGGGCACCTGGGCAGCCCCCGTCCTTCCCAGCCGGGCTCTCCACAGGGAGAACCACACTCTCATCAGACCGAGCTTCCCGCCCCCACCCCCAAACAGCATCCCTTTCTCTAGCTTTTCACATAGGTGCCGGGTACCCACCCAGGGGGAGGGCTGTCCTGAAAAGCTGAAAGCACAGCAGACAGGTAGGCATCCTCCTGATTCTTCCGAGCTCCAGAAAACCCACCTT